ATATATATATATATATATATAATAAATTATTAAACATTTTAGTAATTGTGTGGATTTTGTCATTTTCATTATTTTTTATATGGCTTGTATAGTAGTTTTTTAGTTTTACGTTTAGTTATTTTACAACATCAAGCTAAACTAAATGAAAACAAGGAATATTTCCTTTGGAACTAGCTTTTTATGTCAACATTTACTTGAAGTAACCTTTTTTTAATGGTTTAATTTTTAGTTTTAGTTAACTATAATTTGCCTGATAAACAGTACATGTCCTATTAGACATGATAAAAACCACATGCACATTTAAATTCCTACTGGGTAATAACTTAGAATATCAATTGCAGTGGCTCCAGGTGATGCTGTCATAGTTTAATTACACAAATTAGTACTGAACAATATTAACTAAGTACATTCACTTACTATACGGTTAATGTTTGGGTTTGTTTGCTTGTATGCATGCATAATTTACTGTTATTAATATATATATACATTAAAATGCTTTAATATGTAATCCAATGTAATTCATATTTGTAAAAGAAAAAGAAATGTGGACAGTATTATGGAATAACAGGAAATGTGATGCATGTGCTGTACTGCCGATACTTTAGCTGCCATGACAGTCTCACACTCATCAGATACTCAAAAGCTTCCACATTACATACCATTGGTCCCGATGGACCTCTTGGTCCAGACGGGCCTTCATTTCCTGGTGGACCCTGAACAAAAACATATGCCATCATGAACTGTACAAGATGCACAACTAGTAGCATTAGCAAAGATTCGTTCAATATGGAGAACGTTTAAAGACGCCCTTGAGATGGGCCCAACACAACCCACTGAATTGGTTCAACAAGACAGAAGAGACAAGTCAGATAACAAAGCTAAAACTGAAAACATGCACTTTTAAACCAGTTCAAGGTGCACTTAAGAAACATATCTTACCCTAGCTCCAGAAGGTCCAACAGGGCCGAGCGGACCTGGAGCGCCAATCGAGCCCTTGGAAGAAGAAACGATTCTTAATGTCATCCGTTGTTTCAAAATACGGGTTTTTGTATCAAACAACCATTTAGCTGTTCGTGGATTAAACATGAGCACTTTCAAATATAGTCAGGATATGACTAAACTCAACCTTTCCATGGAAGAGAAGGAATGTTGTACTAACCCATATGAATACATGTTCAAATAAACTTCTTGCAAAGTAAAAGTGCCTTCATCCTGTACAGCGGTAAGTACAGACATTTGTGTTTCTGTCTGTGTATTTCTTTTGGAAGTCAAAAATAAAATGACGTTATGATGAAGGTGTTAGCAATCATTCTGCTGTAAAGCTGCGTGCTTTAAGAGGACGCGAGTTGTGTTTGCCGATTGTTTTTTAAGCATGAATGTAATCATAAAACCATTTATCTGATAGACACATTAAATCTTCTAAATCCCACACTGCAGAAACCTTCCAGAATCCATTACAACGTAATTTAAAAGTACTTAAAAACAGCTCAAACAAAAAAGCACTTACCCGCTGTCCAGGTAAACCTGGGTCACCGGAGTCTCCCTTAGGTCCAGGCCGCCCCTGAAAACGGAAGAAATGAAGCAAGCTTTCACACTCATTCCTCTGTTACATGACAGCTGTATGTGCATGAGGGGTGAGGGGGCGACTGAGCGCTGGCTCCGTTAAATAAATGGGTCTGAAGCTTTTAGTCATAAATTACACCCGCACTATACAGTACTGTAGCCAGACAGGTCCAGGAGTTTAATGTCCCAAGAAAGTGAAATAGAAGACACTTTCCATGAATAGAGTAGAAACTGGTGTCCCACAACTTGTTAACAAGCAAATATTAGAGAAATATAAAATAACATAAAAATAGAACGTACATGTAACATAGCTAGTATTAAAAACATTAAATCCCTCCCCCATCCCCTTTAAATGTGTTAATTTGGCATTCAAATCAGTTCATAAAATACTGGCATATTTGGAGAAAACTGTGCATTTTTACATTTTCAAAAATCATATAATATTTATTATGACCACCTAAGATGGAATAAAAATTTTTTTTTAAAGTTAAGCATTTCCTGATTTTCAAAATATTGTTATTTTAGCATTGTTTACTAATATTTGCTTGAATTAGCTTTTATTTTAATATTTGTATTTTTCATTTTAGCTTAAATTTTACTCGTTTTGGTTTGCGTCTGTGATATATGGTTTTCATTTTTGTCATTTTAGTACTTAAACATTTTTTATCCGTTCTAATTTTCATTTCTAATTTTCAATCACATTTTAAAATGGTAAGTTTAACCTAATATTTATATTTTATTTTATTTCAGCTTAATTTCAGTTAACTAAAACCATTTTTAATGGTTCAAATTTATTTCCCTATTTCGGGCTTAAGAAAGGCCTCAATAATGACTAATTACATTCTGTAAGGGCCGATACAAATTTGACAAATGGCAATGGACAGAGTTTTGTGCTTTACTTACTGGTTCACCAGGAAGAGACAGTCCATTAGGGCCCTGTGGGCCTGGTGGTCCCATTTGTCCTGGCAGACCCTGCTCCCCACGTGGGCCCATTGAACCCTGCAATTGCAATGAACGGGTTTAAGTCCTGTTAAATTATTCAGCTTCAGCACTCTAGAAAGAAGCGCTGAGAGAAAAGGTTTCTCGATGGTATCGATGAAGGAACCTGTTCAACATCTACTTCTCTGTCTGACCATTTGGCATTCATCAGCAGGTCATTTATAAACTAGAGATGGAGGAAGATGAGCTTACCGTGGGGCCAGACTCTCCCCTCTCACCTCGTGGGCCTTTTGTGCCAGGGCTGCCCTGGAAACACAAAGAACAAAGAAAAGAATTTCAGAGGATTCATTATTTTATAAGACAAACTGTCAAATGGCTCTAAAGAGATTGGTGTTTCCAAGTTCACACGTCCCCGACAGTCTTCACTTCTGCTTTCTGACCTTTAAGCGCATTCTCCCTAAATCCACGAGTAAGTCACTAGTCATTAGCTCACGCTGTGCTGTTAACCATCGCTAATCCCAGATGTTCAATCCATGCATAATGGTGTGGAGAGAAGAGCCCCCATAAACATATTCCTGTGCTTAATGTAAAGAGCAGGACTGAAATGACAGCACTGGGGAAAATATCCCACCGTCCCTGAACTCTGGACCTTTTCGCCCTCGTCATGAGAAGTGAGATTTGCAGCGGTAGCACGATGACTTCAGAGACAGAGGAAATGTCATGGGACTCTAATGATCTTACCGGAGGGCCCGCGGGGCCTGGAGGACCAATGCTGTCCTGAGCACATGTGCAGGAGTGAGGAAGAGCGGGACATTTGGCTTCATCTCTCTACAGAAATGGAGATATAAATCAAACCTTCTGAAAATGTTAAAGACTAAACAGATTTATTAAAGGGAAAGAACTGCAATAATAAAGACAGCTCGCATGATGAAGTCATTTTGATGGTTAAACCTGTTAACTGGTAAAAGGTAAGCTGCTTTACTGTAATACTGTAGCTTTAATACGACATTTTATTCAATTTTATAGTAAAACAACGTTAAATGTACAGTTTTTGGAAGTGAAAAAGAACAAGGGAAAACAAGGCTCACATTTGATGGTTTTCATGTAGGGTTTCATGTTTCATCTTTTGTTGTTAAATGAATTTGTCATGTGTGTTACCATTATGGTATTATGTATTTGTCAGATTTTTGCAGTGTCAAGTAAATTGAAGTAAAGATAAAAACTAAATGCTGCACTGGCCACAGTGGTGTACATCTACCTGCCCTTTAGCTACTCTCTATGGCCAAAAGTATGTGCACACTCCCTTCTAATGAACGGGTTTGGCTAAGCCCTTTAATTCCTGTGCAGACAAATGCTAAAGGTAAACAAAAGTCCACAACTGGGAATTGCTCAAAAGCTTGACAGCTGTATTTAGGGGCTGGAGAGTGTCCCTTCTCTGATTACAAGCATCTTTTGAAGTCTGCAAAACTCAATGACTTTTTCTCAGCACGGGTTTCACTGAAAGCCTTCAGCGTACTGACCAAACAGTAGACAAAAACCCACCCCGTAAGATAACAATCCATACACAACCCCCGCTTACCATTGCTGGAATATCACAACATTTGTCTCGACTTGTCCAGCCCAAACTGCAGACAATATCAAACATCTGGAGCTGGAACTGAGGGAGAGAAAAATGGGAACACAAACGGATGTTACAGATGGCTTGCATTGAGCGCCGGGACTCGAAAATATAAAAACCTGCCCACATGCACCCAACGGTGTTTTGAAGAGCAATACAGACAGAATCGAATCCGTTCAGGCATGAATGGGTGGGAGGACATGCACTTGATCGAGTATGAGGGGACAAAGGGAACGGCAGGGTAGATTCCTTGGATTAATCATTTAGTGCATGTTCAGATCTTTTGGTGTATTGAAGGGAATGAGCAGTCTGTACTTACTGTGGCTGACTGCTTCCTTGAACCGCCAGACTTTGCCATTTTTCCAAGGACTTCATAGCCATCTGTGGATATGTTGTTGGCCTCTTTGATCTCTTTCTCAGCCACCTCTTGGCAGTCAATGTTGAGTTTGACATTTTTCGGTGAAATAGAAATGTGAAGCTGCGAAAATAAAAAGGCATTAGAGCGAATCCCTCTGCGGTGCAATCCAAGCATCAGTTAAATTATTACTCAGTACTCTGGACATCTTGCCTTGCTTCATAAATCTTCATGAAAGGGATTCACGAAACTGCCCGATTGACAAAAATACGCAAAAACCATCCTTTATGAAACCTTTCCCATGATCCCTGAGAAAGTTAACCCTACGGCCTGTAAACTATGTTTAGAGTTACGCTCTCAATTCTTCCAATAACAGTTGCTGGCTAACTATAATGAGTTTAATTAGTTCATTATGTAAAGACATGCCAGTCGCCGAACACAAATACGAATCTTCATGTCAGCAGATAATATTAACTGGTTTACCATCTGTAATTCACCATGAGACTCTACATGCGGATGTGACCACCGAAATGCTTTTTCCATCCTTTTTTTGAGGGAATACAACGTTTTCTTTATGTAGCGTCACCACATGTTGCTATTATGTCATTCTGCGGCTGACCGTCTAATGCGCTCGTTCCCCCGACTTGAGCAGTTGCTTTTTTCAGTCAACAAGTCTGACCAGCTCATACATCTGATATTCATACTTTGTAGATCAGCACTCCAAAGGCAAGGTCATATTTCTTGCCACAATACCGTCAACATCTTTGGCAAACGGCATTTGGCTTCCCACAAGGAGAAAGGGTCTGAAGTTCTGGCTTTAGATGGAAAGCTTTAGAAGCTTATCCAAACAGTGTGTTCAAATGCTAGTGGGAAGCTGAGAATGCGTCAACATCTTTGGCAACCGGCATTTGGCTTCCCACAAGGAGAAGGGGTCTGAAGTTCTGGCTTTAGATGGAAAGCTTTAGAAGCTTATCCAAACAGTGTGTTCAAATGCTCGTGGGAAGCTGAGAATGCAATAGTTATCAATTCAGAAAGTGTATGCAGAGAGGGTAAAGCGTCATAACAGACAGGGCCATAGAACAATGCTTTTGACTTGTTCGGTTGTATGGTGTACTGTGCATTCACACTTTCTCGAATCCTTCCATTCTGGCTACTGTGGGTGTGTAAATATATGCCCACCATGTGGTTTCGTTTTGCTCTGCTCTAGTCTTCCCCTCTGTCCTGTCAGACTTTCATTATATTCCCATTCTGGCTACTGTAGGTGTGTGAATATGCCCACCATGTGGTTTCGTTTTGCTCTGCTCTAGTCTTCCCCTCTGTCCTGTCAGACTTTCATTATATTTATCAGCCTCCATTTTATAGTTGTATGTTTGACTGGCCATCTTCCCCCACCATTCCCTCAACTGTATGAATTCAGTAAGAAAATTTAAATTTTAGACAGGAAGTGGTTTTAAAATACAATTTTAAATTGGCAGCTAACTGAAATGTATGTAAAATGCTGCAAAATGCAAAGTTGTATGAAACAAATGACTATTCTTTACAGTGTGCTGTTGCTCAGTGGGGGAAAAAATCCAAGATGACAGACATTGAATATATCATTTATAAATATAATACATTTAATATTAAAAGTAGCTGGTATTTATAAAATATATTATTTTTAAAGTATTTTTCAAATCTAGCCAGTATTTGTGTGTGCTATGCAATTTACTAATGATTATTTTGGTAAAAATATCGAGTATCGGGTAATCAGTCAATTATTCTGACGATTAATCGAGTAATCAGAGAATTTTTGTGGCAATAAAAATAGACCTAAGTGAACAAAAGATTTTAAAATGACTTATAATTAGTGCTGTCAAAATTAGCGTGTTAACACAGGCAATTCGTTTTTCTAGTTTTACGATGTTAAAAATATGTAACGCAGGGGCGCAGCTAGCATTGGCCAGCCCACTCACAACTGCTGCTTCTGTCTCTTATGCGGAACGTCTTTATGACCACATCAGACAGGAGACTTTTCAGATGCACACTTCAACTGCGCCTCAGCACCAGGCGCTAGTCAAACGAGCATGGAAATGGTACAGGTGACGAGGGAGCTTCAGTAGATCCACAGTGAACTGTGGTCAGATGAGATGTTGACAGGCCATATGTCGGTAAAAACAAATTTTCCTGTCCTGTCAGCCATTATATTGTGCTCAAAGCATGTGCTATTCAATTGCATGCACAAATATGGCTGCGTGCGCTGTAGCCTGTATAATTTCATATTAAAGCGCGAATGAAACTACAAGTATGCGTGTGAGATCCGCGTCATATTCAGCAGCGGCAGTTCTTAAAGTTATAGCAGCCAAATAACCTAATAACCCTGCTGCTGTGATGTGTTAATCAAAGAACAAAAGAAAAAAGGGGAAATCAATAACTTTTGTAGCTTTAAGGATTAATTTATATTTAATTTAGAATTTAGTGTTTGATAACTTTATTCAATTTCTGCATATTTCTTACTTGCTGAAGGGCACATGTAGCTAAATATGACATTTATTATAATGGATTTATAAGAAGATTTTTTAAAGTTCACTTAAATTAGAAGTTGTTATTTTTTTAAAGTCTAATAAATGTTAAAATTGATAGCTCTCAATCATACTGTAATGTTGAATGGCTATAGTCAATGGTTAAATATTAGGGAAAAAATAACTATTTCATAGAGACATCAGTAGTATTGGTATCAGTGATCCTGGCCTTCAGTCATAAAAAAAGATGCCATTAAACAAATGAATGTAGAAACAACATAAAGAGAGTATATATTTTATACTCTCTTTATGTTGTTTCTAAATTAATTTGAAGATGTGAAATTAATTTCATTTGAATGTGAAATTATTGCAATATAAAAAGTATATTTAAAAACTTTAATGTAGGGTGGAATTAATTTCAGAAAAAATGTGCGATTAATTCGTTTTTTTTTAATCAATGGACAGCACTACTTAAAATACATATGCAATAGCAATGAGGCGATAATAATTGGTTCAAATAAAATATAAAAAGTAAGTAATCATATGGTTTATTGAACAAAACAGTTAAAATACATAGTGTATTAAAACAATATAATCATAATTTATGTACATTATGTATTATATCCAATGCCTGCAGAGGGCGCTAACAGCCTGACGATGTTTTTTACACATTACTTTACACTTCCTAATCCTTGTTTAATATTGACCAAACAACATTAATTCAAATGTCCACTTAATCTTTTATATTTGGTCACTGCATTATGATAGAAATTCTACAGCCACTGTTATTTATTAAACAAGAACATGTGGACATCAAAACATGCAAACTCAGAGCGAGCGTTTAAACTTTTAATTTGAAGTCATGATGAACAGTTAGCATATTTAGAAAGACAATGTATTCTTCTAAATTATTTACCTTATAAAGGTATAATGGTGCAGATTGCATTCCCAGATGAATAAGCAACTCAGACTCACAGCATAAAGATGGTGTTCGAGACGTCCGCGCATGTAAATGATAACAGTTTGTCTGGAGCAGCATTTACTGTGAACGAAGCCGCTCTGAGATGCACGTCCGTAAACTACTCACATATAAATAAAGCGAATATTGAACCTGCAGCACATATATTTATTTAATTGAATCACAGCTTTTGTGAATTCACAATAGCAATATGCTTTATTATGATTTTTTAATGGTTTTAATATTTCGTGCAGCCTTAGAAAACGTTCTAATAATAATTTCTAAAATAAAATAAGAACCGTGGATACTTGTCTGTGGAGTGTGCCACTTCCGGTAATCATTCTAGTTAATCAACATGTGCAAAATGTAATCAATGATTTTTTTTTTTAATCGAGTACTTGAATTTAATTGAGGAATTGTGACAGTTTCATGCTTACCAGAGTATCACGTTTTTAGTTTGGCAACTTGGCCTTACTATCGCACGTGAGGATGCTTGTTAGCCCCTACTAGCCGGGACGCCTTCTTTATGTTTACAGACGTCATGTAATGATGCAAAGACGAATGGTTGTATTTCCCACAAAAAATACAAGTACCACTCAAATTAGAAAACATTATTACAAGCTTACTGTTGTGAACTGGGCTAAGGTAAGGAGATCATTTTGAACACTGGTTGGTTATGTACTTGCCCAAAAATAGATTTTGGATCATTTTTAATAAAAAAAAAAAAAAAAACAGTTACAGACTGCAGCTTTAAATTAAGAATTAATTAATTAATTAAGTTTTAAAGACCTTCATTCATCTTCGGAACACAAATTAAGATGTTTTTGATGAATTCCGAGAGCTCTCTGACCCTCCCATAGACAGCAAGGATACTACCACGATCAAGGTCCAGAAACATAGCAAGGACATCGTTAAAATAATCCATGTGACATCAGTGGTTCAACTGTAATTTTACGAAGCTACGAAAATACTTTTTATGCGCAAAGAAAACAGAAATAACGACTTTATTCAACAATTCTTCTCCTCCGCGTCACCTTGGCGCCATTTTGGAGAGTATCCACTGAACGTAAACAACGTATGCTGTTCTGTGTCAGCAGCGCCACGCGGAAACGTTGTCTACGTTGTTTATGCTTTGATCTGAACGCACTTTCCGTGTGGTGCTGCACACGTTGTTTACGTTCAGTGGATACGCTCCAAAATGGCACTGGGGTGACGCGGAGGAGAAGAATTGTTGAATAAAGTCATTATTTCTGTTTTCTTTGCGCATAAAAAGTATTCTCGTAGCTTCGTAAAATTATGGTTGAACCACTGATGTCACATGGATTATTTTAATGATGTCCTTGCTACGTTTCTGGACCTTGATCGTGGTAGAATTCTTGCTGTCTATGGGAGGGTCAGAGAACTCTCGGAATTCATCAAAAATATCTTAATTTGTGTTCCGAAGATAAACACGAGGTCTTACGGGTTTAGAATGACATGAGGGTGAGTAATTAATGACAGAATTTTCATTTTTGGGTGAACTATCCCTTAAACACTAAAAAGCAATTATGAGTCTCACACAAGCTTCATGTGAACAGTGCTTCCAAACCATTCACATGACATGACCTTTAAATCTAACTCGGAAAGCTTTTATTCATGGATTGATTTTAGCTACTAAATTCATAATCTCTGGGATTTTATAAAAGAAAGGAAATGACATGAAGAAAGGGCCAGTGTTCTGTATTGCGCGGCTGACCACAGAATCCATTTAATAGCTGTTTTCTTTTCCCTATGCTCTCTAAGCACTTCTTGTTAAGCATTAAACTGGCACAGTGTACACACTTTTGTCGACACTCATGTCTTAATTCAGATAATAATGGCTTGTAGGTTGTTATTAACTATTTTAAAAAATGATCAACTACAAATCCATCAGGCCATGTGTGTTCATCTGAATTGGCAGTGGATTCTGTGCAGATTCTGGTCAATAACATTCAAGCTGAACAAGGTATCAAATACGCTTCACTTTCTTTAAGAAATATTATTTTTGTTGACTTTCCAGTGATCCTGACAGATTTCATTAGTTTCACTCAATGAAATTTCCCATGCAAAACTCTCCACATTGATGCAAGGCTGTTGCTAATGTGGTTGCTAAAGTGTTGCTTACTGACCCAAATCAATAGAGTCCTCTCCCAAGTCTCTATGACATTCTGGTCTCATGTTCCGCCAAGTCTGTGGGAGTTTTTGTTCATTTTAATGATTGCACGATAAGTCCACTTACTTAGAAAGAGATAAACCACATAATTTGAAGTATCATTCAAGTCTGTAGTACAAATGGTGAGGTAAGCAGTGCGATTGAATATTTATGGTTAGAGTTGGTTCAAATCCCTAACCCAAAGTATGAGCAACTGTAATAGTGATGCTTGCCTTTAGTAAGGACAAACAAACCTGAGAAGGAAGAAAGAGAAAAGTCGTTCACTTTAAACAACTTTCTAACTCTCCAAAGCATGATAGGTTTGTTTAACCTAAAAGGTTTCCTTTTCATGTAACCAGTCTGTAATCTTGTAACCAAGGTGGTCAGCTAATCACCACCTTAGCTCAGAATTGTTGTTCTGTGTTCACGTCTCCAGCAATGCCAGTGGTTACTGAACATACAGTAGGCAACAGTGGCAAACCAATGCTTTTTTAATGAAGCTTGGACCAAAAATCGGCCCGCAGTCACAATCCAGACTATATGACATCACTTTGTGATTAAAGCCACTGTAATGATGTCAATGGGTGAATCTCATGAAAACAATCAAAAGAAATTCAAAATGTTTTTTGTTTGTTATTAATACCAATGATTCCAATTATAATATAATATAGTAACAATAATTTTTTACATTAAAATACAAATAGAATTTTGTACCAAAAATACTACAATGATTTTACATGCTTTAAATAATACATCATTTTTAGTATTACAGTAATGAAAATTGGGTGGAAATAGGCTTTGTTTTCTTTAAGCATTAAAATTATTTTCTGAGATTCACCCCAATTGCTCAAACTGTGCTTTCAAATTTCCCACACAGACTGGGAAAATCTTTCATGTGTGGTTGTAAAATTAGCACATCTTGAAATCTGATTTGCCAGCATGCACTTACTAGACCAAAACTGCCAAATCCCAGCAAGCATAAATTACAGTCTCCTTGTTGTCTGGCGTTTTGTATGTACATTAGCAATTAAACTATGCCAGCGGTCACCTGGGACAAACATGACAAAATGATGACATGTTTAGCTTTAAACAGACTCTGCGTGTGCGCTGGGCTTAGAAAAACCTCTGAGAAAGCAAAACCCTTTATAAGAAAAATAACATCATTAACGTCCTCTTTTACAGCATGTTCAATAGTAATGATTGATGTTTCCAGCTCTCATGAACCACATCACCATGAGCACAAACTCTTGCACAAACCTGCAGCTAGAATGATGGCTGGTGGGTGTTTAGGCGAAAGCTCTGCGTGCACCATATGGGCCGTTAAACATCTCAATTTAAAGCCAAAAGCAAACTCAACAGTGGCAAATCTTTCATTGAGCTCCAAGAAGTAAAACCGTGTCTTCGGTTGGAAATGCATTTTGAATTTATCAGCCAAGAGTTATAACACAAGCCATCTCTTCCAAAATCGTTATGCTGTACCCAGCAAACTTTAGTACTTTGCAGGGACTAATATTCATCTAAAGAAATCCAATCCCTTTCTCAATACGTTGAATCTGGCAGTATTTCCAAAAGGATGCTCCAAGTTCAAATCCATCAGCCGATTTATAATCAAAAGACATCTGGTTAAGATTGCAATACAGACTGACATCTAAAGGAACCGGTTCAGGACTTCAAGCTATTTTTGCAGTTTTATGAATTTAACGCGTCATTCACTCTTAAAGGTTCTTTATTGGCATTGATGGTTCCGTTAAGAACTTTTAACATCCATGGAATCTTTTCATTGGACAAAAGGATGTTTATAGTGGAAAAAAGGTTCTTTACATTTCAAAATGTTCTTTTAAAAACTGTTCACTGAAAGGTTCTTCTATGGCATCACTGCTGAAACACTGTTTTGGAACGCCCAAGTAGTCAACCAAAGTAAGAAAATCATTCTACCTTGTGGAAACTGCCGTGGAAAACTTTCTTCACTTGGTCATTATCAAAGGAGACTTTCTGAATTTCACCTCTGGAGTCCTTATTGTAGAATGAGATGATTCTACTGGAGGCTGAGAACAAAACACACACTTACAGATGGCTCTGTGTTGACCGCCCGGGCAAAAATGACCAAAACAAAAACCCAACAACAACAACAATACAAAGGATTTCCATTCAAATTTGAGCTTGATGCTCTAAAAGGGCTGATTGTGCATTTCGGAATAATTACTGCTATAAATCACTCCAAGCTTGAAATCTGGAACCCATTTAGAGGGTTTCTGTTTCTAAATAAGCTTTAGCAGACACCACAAGGTTTACTGCACACACACACAAACACACACGACACATGGAAGATGAGAATGGTCCTTACGGTCAATGGTGAGCCCGACCTCAGGGTTGTTGTTCTTATCTGATATCTGCCATATATCAAACGCATCCTTGCCGGTGTCGGAGAGGAGACGGAAGAGGAGAATCAGAGTGTATGCGGGAGGAAGACCATCTGGATGGATTTCCCTTCAAAGAATAACACAGCTTATTTATCAATGCAAAGAACTTCATCATTAATGTTCATAAAATCATGTCATAATGCAAAATATGACCCGCACATGATGGGTTTCGTGGGAATGTTGCATGTGTCTGATGACAAGAGAATAATTAAAAGCTTCAAACAGATTCATTTGTTGTGCAGTGAAACCAGACATAAATCAAAAAGTGCCGAACAGATTCATGAAGCGTCCTCGGGGAAAAAAAAGCAACAGACTTGCAGCCCTGAGTAATGGCAACATATTGAAGTATTTTCCCTCCTCTAGTGCTCAAAATGTTTCCATTTGAACAGCTGCTTGCCCACGCACAAATACAAATCATTATAGTTCAATTAATCAAGCATGCTTTGGCCAGAGACCTTCAGACCAGATATTTAGTCGGCTCAGTTTGAGGTACGCTTCTTGATCTAAAAGTGTATAGGCAATCACTACAACATATTTGAGAAAAGCAACATTTTAATGTAATAATTAGTCATTCAGTAATGATTTGCACTACTTTTGTGCAAATAACACTGCAAATGAGTAATACAGGTATAGTTATACACCATAATGTAATCAATGAATTAATAATGCATAAATTAACTCTCTGCAGTGTTGTTTTAGTATTATTATTTATTACTATTATAATTTAAGACTATTTTGAACATAATTGAATTTAACATTTTAATTTTAGTTGAATGTTTTATTTAATGTTTTGTTGTGTGCTTTTTTCATTTTTTTAAAATTTTTTATTACTATTTAGGCTTAATTTATTTTCAGTTTTAGTTAACATTTTTATTTATTTCCAGTTAGAAATGTTAGTGCTGGACTTTTTTTAAAATCTAATATTTAGATTTGATCATATTTGAACTTTATTTCAATTGATAAAATCATTTTAATAGTTTTAGTTAATGATAATAACCCCGACTTTCTAATGCTGTTGTTCACAACAATGCACAGATCTTTAATGAAAAGAAAAAGAGGTTTAATATACTGTTGCAACAACTATAAATAGCAAAAAGCTATTTTTATGAGATGAATTTCTACCACCAAAGCAACAGCTGGCATTGGTTTTTGCTTTGACTTCCCTTTTGCACTTCAGTCAGGCCAAATAAAACTCTTTAAAATATATAATTTTCTTCTCAACAGTATTCCCCTTTTTGAAAAGGTCAATCATGAGAAGGTTTTTATGAGTTCACACTGGAAACTTCTGCAATATCTGACACCCCATTCACAAAAGCTGCTACAGCAGACAAAAAGAAATGCTCCTTAAAGAGTCTTCAGGCGCTCTGAAGACAGTTAGAATAATTGTGATCGCTTGCCTGCCATTACAGACTGTAGGGGAGCAGCTCAGAAAACATGCAAAACACATGCACTGCACTTCAACCTACTTTGTGGGCTGGGAAATGAATGCATCCTTATGGAGTCTGTATGCAATGTAACTGTTGAAGGAGCCAGACTCCATGGAGACGCCGTTCATGCCAGCAAACGTCTTGTCAGTGATGTTAAAGGCTTCCAGCATCCTGAAGCCTGTAAGTTTTCACCAAAACATCAATCAAGAGATGCATAACAGTGTGTAATGACAGAGGAAAATAAGACTATGATGATAGAAAGTCTTCGGGTATGGACTTCAGTCAAGCTCTGACCTGGGGATGTGAATCCGTCGAGGTAAATCAAAGGACAAGCTGTAAAAGAATACAGGAAAGAGTTTGACTCTTGTCTTTCATGTTAGCGAGAAAGCGAACAATGCAATGCAGACTACAAAGAATGACGTCCTACTGGATGTTGCCGTTTCACAGATGAATGTAATGAGGTTGTCTTGGATCTTAGTAAATGCATCAAAGTCATCAACGATGAAGACATGTCTCTCGCTGGGCTTGCTTCCAATGTTCCTCAGTTCAGCGGTGTCTACGTCTGCGACACCCACCACAAACACACTGTAGCCTGTGGAAAAAACAACACTGAGGCTTTAGGGAGCATGTCGAGGGACTTGTCTAAAGTAATTTGAGATACATCGCCTGTCAAAACCTGTCGAGAACTCATCCAGGTCGTATTTCACCCAAAAATGAGGCCTATTTCCATGACCACTGAGATGTGCAATGTGTCATAATTAATGCTTATTTTTAATGCAAAAAAGAATGATTCTTTTATAATACAGTCATTGACATAGTTTCAACAGAATAGCCATTGAAAAACCACAAAACATAATCATGGTCCAAAAAGGTTTTATTTTCTTTATGCTAAAAAGTAATTAAAATGTCTTAAGTTCAGATTGACCGAATTTAAGGCCATGCAAAGTCTTAAATATTTTAAATGGTATAAAAGTTATTTTTTAAAAAGTCTTACATTTTCCGAAAGGAAAATAGGAATCGCAATACAGTCTAATAAGATTATTAAACTTCAAAAGACAATAGGCGCGTTTCCATTACCCTTCAAATTGCACAAATTGAAAATACGCCTAATGGAAATGCGTCAATTTCGCAAAAACGCCCATATATCGCAAAAAAGTTTTTACGCTCGCATGACGTGGTTTTTCAGGCAATGCGAAAAAGGAATAATTCGCAAAACTGCAATGAAAACGTTTTTTTTTCCGCATTTACAGGTCACATGGCATATGTAAAAAGTCATATGATCATTCTTCAATGTACTATAACCTCCAAGAAACACAGTGAATTATCAGGACACAACGACAAACCTTGAGAACCCAAACTGTTTCAGGTGACCTTTTAAATATTGTTTTTGAAAATGAATGTGACTGACCCGGTACTCTGGGTCAGAGAAGCGTTCCTGCACTCTGAGGTCGAGTTGATGGAAAACCTGGCAGATAAGCAGGGGGCAGTAGGAGGCCGACTGCAGGATGGAGGTAAGAAGCTCAGACAGGTACGACTGCAGGAGGCTGGAGCTCTGCTGAATAATATCAGACTCAGTCTGCTGACGGTGCAAACCTGCACACCTACAATACCAAAAGACCCAGGAAAAATTCTGAGAAACTGACCTTTACAAATCATTAAAAAGCTCAATGGAGGTAGGAGTCGTATTTTTATAATATATATATTTTTTTGTCTTACCCTGCCTCTTTCAGTTCTAGTTTACTTGGGTCCAGTTCTACATATTTCTTTTCTTCAAAGATTCGGTTTATTATCGGGCCCAGAAGCCTGTGCAGATATTGCATCCCAGCCACCTGCCGTGAGAGAATGAAGACAAAGGTGCCTTTGTGTAATATTGCATATAATCACATTATGAAAACTGCTGGAATAAAATATAATAAAACAGCAGGAGGATTAAGCTGGAATAGATCTGCAACACAGCAAAACTGATGCTTAATTTAACATGAAATCCAAATTAACATATTTACTGATTCATGTTTGTCTTTACAAACTTTTCTCAAAATGTGTGCAGTTCTTAACTACAATAAATGTCATTAGGCGTGTTTCCATTTCCATTACATAAAAAAATCCATTAAATTGAAATTGCGAATTGAAAATACGCCTAATGGAAACTAGTCAATTTCGCAAAAACTCCCATATATCGCAAAAAAGTTTTTACGCTCGCATGAGGTGGTTTTTCAGGCAATGCGAAAAAGGAATAATTCGCAAAACTGCAATGAAAACGTTTTTTTTTCCGCATTTACAGGTCACATGGCATATGTAAAAAGTCATATGATCATTCTTCAATGTACTATAACCTCCAAGAAACACTTCATACGTGGCCGCTCTCCAGTATAAGGGGCTTTCCCTACCATTAATGCTTAGACAATTTACACTGCACTCGTCTGAGGTCTCTGGCACTGAAGCTGATTGCGGCCACAATGCTTGTGTTTATTCCAGCCGCGCCACGCACGTTTCTGAAGCGGCTCTCTTTGCTGCTTCTGTAAAGATACACGCATACGCCTCCTTTGAATAAATATAGCCAAAATCCGTCAAAATCCCACCAAAATACGTTGCCATGACTTATCGCGATAAGTTTTGCGGAAATATGTAATGGAAACGCGCCTAATGATAGCATTGAATAAATGTGAGCACTTCATGTCTCAACGTAAAAATGTGACACTGTTGTGCTTTCTACAGCCTCGCAGCAGTTCGCAACCAATGAATGCTGCGCATTTATGGCAAGCACTGAAATTGGTTTGTGCTAAAATATACATATCAATACATACAACATCATTTATTTTTAGATTGTATGGGTTTGCTTTAAATGGGCATATGGTATTAATTTTATTTGTGCAGGTCTTAGAAAGTTTTAAACTTTATTTGAAAAACTAAAAAAAATAGCCTGTCCAGTAAACAATTTCTTAATTTTCCAGGTTTTTTTATTTTATTTCCCAAAACACTCACAACACATTTCAAGCAAAATAAAAGTGTGATGTTTGATCTCAGTGTTACCTGCATGCTGTAGTTTAGCAGCACTCTTCTTTACATCATCTTGAGAACGGCCGTCAGTTACTACGACCAAAACCTTGGGAACGTGTGCTAAAATATACATATCAATACATACAACATCATTTATTTTTAGATTGTATGGGTTTGCTCTAAATGGGCATATGGTATTAATTTTATTTGTGCAGGTCTTAGAAAGTTTTAAACTTTATTTGAGTAGGGAACATAAAAACAATGTTTCACAAACCTGTTTTGGTGTTTCCTCCTCTGTATTTGACCATCTGAAGGGCAGACAGCACCATTCCCTTGTCGTGGTAGGTGTTCAGTTTGAACTCAGACTTTTGCCTCAATGAACTACTAATTTTCTGCTTACTAATAGTTAGTAAGGTAGTCGTTAAGTTAGGGAGTATGGTCATGCACAATTTGTGCTTCATAAGTACTAATAAACAACCAATATGTTAATAATAGGCATGCTAATAAGGAACTAGTTAATAGTGAGAATTGGTCCACATACTAATGTGTTACCAGCAAAGCTGGGAAGCAAATTAAAAATGTAAAAAGCATTTTGAAAAAGTGAATGCTCTTGTGTCTTTACCCTCGAGTGCAGCAGGGATGGTGGGTGGTGGTGGAGGAGTTGGAGGTGGTGTTGGGGCTATGGTGGGCTTCACCACTACAGAACAGACAAAGAGACCATGAGTAAAACTGTGATCAGAGCTGTGAGACTGAATTCTTCTGAATGCATCGTGACTTACGTGTGCGCTCTTTGACACTGACTCCGGGCCCCTCCTGGTTGGGGGTCTGTGTGTAGACTGTGGCGTTGTACAGCGCGTCTGGCGTCAGCCCGTCAAAACAGTACTGGCTCTCAGAGGCAGTGATAGTGACCTCCTGAGCCCCACGGTTAGCCGCTAATGATAAGAGAGAAGTGTAAGCTTATACAAATATTAATATTTATGTATTTGAATTGCATTAAAATTTCCATGCATTAGAATTTCAAACATATTACAAACTAAACTACCTTAAAAAAAACAACAACAACTAAAGTGTAATGTGATGCTAAATTATTTAATTAAATAATTAATTAAAAAAATAAAACAAATATGTGCACAATTTATTTATTAACTATTTACTATTTGATTTTATTTAAATAATCATATTTTCAAAATAAATTTATCAGCGTTAAGTAAAATTAAAACTAAAACCATTAAAAAAACTTATACAAGTACTAAAATAACTCAAACTAAATCAACTAAAACTTAAAAGCTACATGAGACATATGTACCTATAAGACATATTCAAATAAAATAATAAATAAAAATAAAGTAAAATAATCAAATACAAACATTACAATAAAACAATTAAAATGAAAACAAAATATATTTAAAAAATCTAATTCAAAATATGAACAAAAACTATAAGAGGATATCAATTATTATTAAAATACTAAAAATTCTAATAGTTTAGAATAAGCATAAATCTATTAATTGTGAAAACAATTCCTTTTATTTGATTAAAAAGTATGAAGATGGTTAAAATACAACTAGCTGTGGAACAACAATATTCAATTAGTTAAAATGTACGAGACTGAAACTTATTGGATTTATTGATAATAAATATATAAACCTGGTTATTGTTTATTTAAACACATTCAATTTATTAGTACTATTACAGAAATCTGACCTGTTTCATTTATGCATGACGCATACAAACACATCATATCAGTATAATGGATAAAAAAAAGCAATTCAAATGCATAAATACTAAATTAAGGCCTTAATATTTCTGAGTGTATAACACTTGTAGGGGGAACATGAGTAAAATGCAGCATTTATGTTTAATGAATTTGCGTCTCTTCATATTCTATTAACTTACAATTGAAAGGATTGAGTTTTAGCCTGTAAGAGGTGGCGGCTCGGTGAGGCGTCCATCTGATGCAGAAGGAGTCATAGCCGACGTTGTATGTGGTGAGGTCAGTCACATTAAGGTACACTGCAATGGCAAACAACATTCCACAGTTAAAGCAGGTGTTTTAAAACAATCTTGAAACATGTCTGTGCGATTTGTCAGTCAAAGAAACGAGCACGTACAGGTGGTTCCTTGTCCGACCAGAGCGCCGCTCACGCCTGCGTCATACTGAGCGTAAACCTTCAGGTCGTACGTGGTGCCAGGCTGGAGGTTGTGCAGGATGTGTGTAGTAACATCTCCAACAAACACTTCCATGGTGTTATCCGTGCCTGCAACAACACACCGGACAGTTTACTAGAACATGTGTCAGCATAACCTACAACAGGATGTCCAGATTATGACAACATGGTAAAATCATCTAGAACTGTCTCTTACCCACTGGGGTATAGACCAGATTATAACCGTTGACCCGCGCAGGTACAGGATCCCAGGACACTCGGAAACGAGTGTACCACTCATCAGAAACACGCAGGTTACGAGGCTCCAAGAGACCCACTGAAGGAGAAGAAAGAAACAGTAAACAGGAGCCAAGACATTGACATTTTCCCATACACTGATTTCCAGCACAGCTTCTTTCTTACAGTCAACATGTCTGACTGTTTATCTGTTTCTGTCTGTCTGTCTGTCTGTCTGTCTGTCTATCCATCTGTCTGTCTATCTATCTATCTATCTATCTATCTGTCTGTCTACTATCTATCTATCTATCTATCTATCTATCAAGCCGTAATGTGATTGTGTAACCTTCCTTACATGTTTTTCCATCTCCAGACAGTCGTCCTCCAGGCCCATCTTGATAAATGGCCTCTACGTTGATGTTGTACGGAGTGTCTGGCTGCAGGTTTTGCAAGATGACAGAGTTTCTGTTGCCAGGGACACTTGTCTATGTGAAAAACAGCAGGACAAGATCAGCTTTCTAGCATGCATTCAATCAAATAACATCCATGGGCTCGTAAAAATACCTGATGTTAACATATATTGCTCCTGTCCTTTATAATCACTACTATAAAATACAACCCCACTCACAAACTCCTCAATGGGATCTCCAGTGGTGGGTGCATAGCCAATGCGGTACTGCAGCACGGGTCCTTCTGCATGCTCCCAGCTGACAGACAGCATGCTGGTGGTCGGATCATACACACGCAGGTTCCTAGGGCCGCCGCGTGGCACTGTAATCAGAAGAACAGAGGTTCTCTCAAAATCATATTTCTGGAAGAAAAGACCATTTGTGTGCTGTTTGTGCATATATGACTACTTATATAATTTACTAGTAGACTGAACTTTTCTGGATACAGTAGATTTGAAATTGTTTAGTTTATAATGCACAGGTTTTATGTTTAAAATTAAACATTAATTTTCATTTTAAATATTTTTCATTTGAATATCTGCAAATTTTTATGTCATCATCATTACATCACCCAAGTCATCACAATTACAATATAACATTATACTGTATATATACAAATGTTACATTGTAATATACACTGTATATAAAAAATCCTCGTCTAAAAATAATGATTTTCTCTTTCTGACATCATTTGAGGAAGAGGAATCATTCAATCTTTTGGCAACAAGTTTAGTTCACATTCTTTATGAGTACTTATAGTTTCTAGTTTACCCTTAAATTTGCCTTAAAGAGCTTAGTAGTTCAACTCTGCCATGGGACAAAATCATTGTGAACATTTTTTCCCCTAGAAAAATGTTTTTGCCACAAGTGTAGAGTGGTGCAATGCCATTGGCTAGTAAAGCCATGTGATGAAGTTGAAATAATGTAGCAGGGTTAGGGTTCGTAACAATAAATAACTATTTGTACTGCATATTTTGTATTGGGGGTAGTAACTCAAAAATCGGACAAAACTTTTTTTTTTTTCTTTGAAAATGATAACAAATATGTGACCCTGGACCACAAAAGCAGTCTTAATTCGCTGGGGTGTATTTGTAGCAATAGCCAAAATTACATTGTATGGGTCAAAATGATACTCAGATTCCAGATTTTCAAATAGTTGTATCTCGGTCAAATATTGTCCTATCCTAACAAACTATATATCAATGGAAAGATTATTCTTATTTTATATTATGTATAAATCTCAATTTTGAAAAATTGACACTTAAGACTGGTTTTGTGGTCCAGGGTCACGTATGATAACAAATTACAACCCTTGTACTTTGGGTTAAGTTGGAAAATTAGATTTCCTGAAATTTCAGCTGATACCTTCACATCTGAAATGATTAAATAACAAATAAATATAAATGCTGACATTTCAATGTCACTGAGAATGCGCCACAAACACATAACAAAGGAACTCTGATGGAGGCGTCCTGCAGTCAGACTCACTTGTTTTTCCATTATCAGACACAGAGGAGCCCTCGCCGTCAGCATACAGAGCCACCACACTCACAGCGTAGTCTGTGTCTGAATCGAGCTGCTGCAGCAAGGCAGTGTGGGTGTTCCCTGGAACGAGCACCTAACCGACAACAAAAAAAAGTAATAATTTACCACCAGGGACACACAGGCTGTCTTTGTTAACTAGTGACATTTATGATATCTCTTTCTGACATCATTTGAGGAAGAGGAATCATTCAATCTTTTGGCAACAAGTTTAGTTCACATTCTTTATGAGTACTTATAGTTTCTAGTTTACCCTTAAATTTGCCTAAAGAGCTTAGTAGTTCAACTCTGCCATGGGACAAAATCATTGTGAACATTTTTTCCCCTAGAAAAATGTTTTTGCCACAAGTGTAGAGTGGTGCAATGCCATTGGCTAGTAAAGCCATGTGATGAAGTTGAAATAATGTAGCAGGGTTAGGGTTCGTAACAATAAATAACTATTTGTACTGCATATACACTCACAGCGTAGTCTGTGTCTGAATCGAGCTGCTGCAGCAAGGCAGTGTGGGTGTTCCCTGGAACGAGCACCTAACCGACAACAAAAAAAAGTAATAATTTACCACCAGGGACACACAGGCTGTCTTTGTTAACTAGTGACATTTATGATACTTCAAATACTTTTACAATGATTAATGAGTGAAGCTCACAAAGAACATATCAAAAGGAAAATCAAAAGGAAAATCAATACAAATAATATATTACATTTATCATATTATATTAAATTATATTTGTTATATATTATAACAAAAATAAGCTTATTTTAGGATGATCCACCAGAACACCTACATTTGCTCCAAGTTTGTCACACTTCAGTTTGGGGACCAATTCTAACTACTAACTATGACTTTTACCTCTGTATATTTTTAATTTGCTTAGTTGGTAAGGTAGTTAAGTTCAGGTATTTGGTAGGATTAAGGGAAAAATGGCCATGCAGAATAAGGCATTAATATGTGCTTTATAAGTAGTAATAAACAGCCAATATGCTAGTAATATGCATGCTCATAAACAACTAGTTCATAGTGAGAATTGGTACTTAAAATAAAGCGTTACCATTTAATCCATGTTAATTAATTTACATAAGGATTCAGTTCACAGTTGAGGCAATAAAATACGACTAAATGAGCACATTTTACTAAAAAATCATACTGTTCACAGGAATCTACCATTCATTCTTATCAGATTCTTATTCCGTAAAGCTTGTGAAGACAATAATTCTGTCCAAAAAATAAAAATGAGGGTTTTTTTTTTTTCATTATGGTAATGTGAATGAGTGGTGTTTAATATTAAGGATGTCACAAAGCAAACAAAGAAAAACATCTTTATGCAAAATGATATGTCCCTCAACATTTAATCTCTTAAGATCACACACATCAAAACTGTTGGCTTTACAATCTCTGATATATTACACCCTGAGAAAGAAGTTTGTCTGTTTTTCTACAGATGACCTCTTGCACTCACTGATGTTTGTGTCACCACTGATTTCCAACCCAACCATTAGCGATCACTTACACAGCCAATGCAATGGAAACATTCCTTTGATGTGTTAATAGTGTAGCAATTCAAGTGAATGATGTGCTGACAGTGTCGTGCAATCGCCTCCTTTCACTGCTCTTCACAACGCCAGGTCATGGGGGTCACTGACTTCCCCATTAATGACACGGGAAACTCCCTTTTCACGTTCCTGACAACACTATCCTTTATTTTGAAGACTGAGTTCAGTGGGCGATTGATTGCACTTCTGGAGTTTTTCAAGGTTCCAGTGGAAAAGGTAAAAAATTCATCATAGATCGGAGGTTAAAATGAAAGCGCAGAGAATTTGGAAAACTGGCCACAATGTCGGAAAAGATGTGCCTCCATAACAATATTCCACAAAGCCTTTGTGGCTGCAGATAAGAAGCTCGTTCTGTTAAGACATAAGACTGAATGTTTCAACTCTGTTTTCCTCAGTGCTGAAATAAAACAGGTTTGGGCTCAAGATTTCCCACAGCAAGCATCTGACGACAATAAAAGTCATTTATGGATTTCGGAGCTTTGTGAATATCCCTCTCAAGCAATGAAGTTCATGTGAGAACGAGGCTGCATGACATTAAAAGCACAAACATCTTTGCGAGGGACAGACTGCAAACAGACCGTTACGCTCAAAAGGTTGAGAGACTGACATTTGTCGCGGCAGTATTTCCTGTACGATCTTTCACGCGAGCCTAACGATGAGGACTTACAGATTGAGCGGAATGGGTTCCAGAGAGGGGGGTGTAGGCGACGCGGTACTGCAGCACATCTCCGGAGGCCGGCTCCCAGCGCACGTTCAGGGTGTTTGTGGTTGGGTTGTAAACCCGGATGTTCTTGGCAGGGGTCCGCGTCACTGTTTCAGACAGGAGCGGGAGCAGCATCATAAAAACAAAGACAGTAAAAGGGGTGAGCGTTTAGAGTGGTTAAAGAGGAACAGAAATTTACATCTATTTACAGGAGCCCTGATGCATGCAGGTTTAAACACAATACTAGTTTCAATGTCAACCACCACAGAAAGCGATTACAACAGCATTTCAAAAGGGTGAAGAGAGACGTCTCATTTTTTATTAAAATTGCCTTTAAACCAAAACCGACGGTAAGAGCCTACTCAAAAACTTGATAGTCAGCTTTTGGGTTAATCTTAAAGGGGTCATATGATGCGATTTCAATTTTTCCTTTCTCTTTGGAGTGTTACGGCAGCTTTGGGGCATGTCCAGGGTATATTTCACCCCAAAATCAAAAGACAGTATATGTTTAGCTTTTGTTCTGCTTGTTTAGCTGTATAGTAAATTGAGACTTTTGTTAATACACTGGTCATTTTTGAGATTTTGGACTATTTGGCTTTCTTTTGCAAGTGTTGTTTCAGACTTAGTGGGAAGAAAATATCCAAAATACTCTTTTAAGTGTTCACTTTATCTGTTCGCGTCTGTAGTTTTTTACCATGGGGGTTTGCTCATATACCATCCACCTGATCTTTATTCCTAAAATTATGGTAACATTTTTTTCTAGTTGTTGACAATATTTTCTGATATGATTCTGAAATGTATGCAAATTAGTGCATATTTAGTTTGGATAAAATTTGCACATTTAAACATAATATTTCAGAAAACTTGTATACTAAAAATTAAGTGGGGAAGACTAGGCTATATCTATTATTTAAATATTTTATCCGATTCACTTGGGGTGTCTTGCCTTAACAGTAAATGTGTACAGCTTTCGATAACACACATCGTCAATGGTGCATGAAAACAAAAAGCAGAACAAGCTTTAGATGATCCCAGATTTTGACCAAAACAAACACTTGCGTTAACGTGGCACAGCCACGCAAAGCAAACTGGAGATGATGGGAAGCAAACCACCTGGTGGAAAAACAGTGACGCCAACAAAAACCTGTTAGTTTGACTCTGAATGAGGAGCATTGACGTGACAGCAGTAAATAAGGGTGCTTTTATGTCCTTGCACCTCCCTGGGTTTTCCATTTGGTGAAATAGATTGTTCGTAAGCCTCACACCAGCATCTCCAGTCATTACACCCCATAAAGAAGGCTCATTAAGCCCAGACTGGAGTCACATTTATGGGGTTGCCAACACATCGGCATTCCTCCCTTAGTGATCAATCCAATAAAGCTGATTCAATCTTTGAGCAAGTCTCTGAGATTCTATTTAGAAGTGCAAGACTTTAATGTTAAAGCCATAAAACTGCACTTTGTCCATTCTGGAGTGAAAACTTTGGCAAAAGGGTTCCTGTTACTGGGGAGTATATGATGGATGAATATGGGAATTCGTTGCTTTCCAGTAATGCTAAAATAAGAAAAGGCTGCATCAACTCACAGGTTTTTCCGTTCTCCGACATGCGCTTGCCCTCTCCAGGAGCGTATACTGGCACCACTGTTACTGTGTACTCGGTATCAGACTGCAGGTTCTTCAGAACTGTACTGGAGGTGCTTCCAGGAACCTGGACCTGAGAACATTAAAACGATGAAAGATTTTCATTTTCTAGTCTCTGCGAAATCGCACAATGCTTAGGATGGTTGAGGGACTGCTGCTATGTGTTATATGTGTATTTAGTACATTTCGATGTACTTGTCTAAGTGGTTGCTTGATGGTTGCTTTCTGGTCCAAGCCAAGAGAGACAAACTCCAAGTGTCTATGATTTTTATATTATTATGCTATTCTGGCCTTTAATGTAGGTCAATGGGATTTTTGCATCAGTTATATTATTAAAAAGGACATCAGATGCCCATTTCCCACAAGTTGGTATGATTCTTTAGGGTCTCCATGAAATGTCTGTAACATGGTTAAAATTCTTCAATAGTCATATAAAACAACTTCCTTTTTACCTTGTCGAAAACAACTTTGTTCATAGCGAGCCGTTTCGGTGCATGTCTCTTTAAATGATAATGAGCTACAAGAAACGCATGCATAAACTATGGAAGCCCGTTTCCACCACCGAATGAAAATAAAAATGGTAATTGCAACTTTTTATCTCACAATTCTGACTTTTTTTTTGCAATTGCGAGTTTACGTCTCGCAATTCTGACTTTTTTGTTGTTGTTGTGAGATATAAGCTCGCAATTGCCAGTTATAAAGTCAGAATTGTGAGTTAATATGTCTCAATTCTGACTTTAAAACTGGCAATTGCGAGCTTATATCTCACAACAACAACAAAAAAGTCAGAATTGCGAGACGTAAACTCGCAATTGCAAAAAAAAAGTCAGAATTGTGAGATAAAAAGTTGCAATTGCAAGTTATAAAGTCAGAATTGCAAAATATAATTTCTGAGAAAAAAGTCAGATTTGCACGTTTATTTCTAGCAATTGTGAGTTTATATCCTGCAATTCTGACTTTATATCTCGCAATTCTGACCTTATAACTCGCAATTGCAAGATGTAAACTCACAATTGAGAGAAAAAAAATCAGAATTGTGTTAAAAAGTCGCAATTACCTTTTTCATTTTTTTTCAGTGGCAGACACGGGCTTCCATAATGAACTAATAAAACTGTACGCCTTCAATATATACAAAATAAAAGGATCTGCCAAATGCATAAATGTAATAAACATAAACACTCTTAGATGGCAGTTGAGAAACTGACATAACAAAATACATTTGTTTTATTTTGGGTCGGTACACCTGCCTTTAACCAAGTCAGAAATTCAAATTGATCTGCCAACATTACAATCGTAATAAGAAATTTCGAACAAACATTCCACAGCACCTCAGTGCGTCAAAGTTTATGACTTAAATGAAAAGTGGTCACACAATTTCAAGAAAAGCATTCAAGGCTAACCAGTATTTCAGACAGCTCAAAAACACGGGTCAAACTGACCCGGAACATAACATAAGTGTTAGGAGGTGCCATGGGACGTACCATGTCTTCTGCGCCCCCTGTGACGGTCTGGTAGTAAATCCTGTATTGCCGTACGCTCCCTTCAGCCGGCTCCCAGCGTACATTCAGAGTGCTGACCGTGGGGTCCGTCACCTGAAGGTTTCTCACACTGCCCAGCGGTACTATGGGAACACACATAAAACTCTATTCAATGTGTCAACAATTACCTAATTTATATAATTTAAGCACTATCTGAAAAAATGCATTAATGTAGATAGGTAACCAACAGGTCTAATGAATGCGGTAAAGTCACGTGACGTACATGTCTTTCCTTGGCCAGAAATGTCTTTGGCATCTCCATTCGCATAGACTGCAGCAACTGTGATGTAGTAGGGAGTGTCTGGAGTCAGTTTCTGCAGAATAACTGTATTTTTCTTCCCTCCAATCTGTGTCTGTGACAGAGAGAATGAACTGTGCTGTTAAATGAGTCAAAGGATCAGCTCCACTATTTGTGTCTATACTATTTGTGTAGACACTATTTGTGTCTATGTGTAGTGTATATATACGCTACATGCATTACATGCATTTTTATTACTCTAAATTGTATTTTTGTTTTTTGTCAACAAAGAGAAGGATGAGTAATTTTCTGTGGTAATCAACAGCTTGTCAGAGTTTTTTTTAGCCCAAATGATTCCTTTAAATAAGCTTAAGTAATTTTCAGCCGTGCTGGATAATGTCAGGAACAACACATCACAAATACTGTACGATTGCAGAAAAGACTGTTTTTCAGTGTTTCGTTTTATGCTGTTATTCCTATGACTGCTGCCAATGTAAATCTGCCTTCTTGATGAAGAAAACAGAGGCTGGAAAAGTTACTGCAATGACTTTAGTATAGAAAAACAACACCTCTGCACCCATTCAGATACCATGAAAACATGGAAAATAATAAGATGATAGTTGATTCTGCAGACAAAAACATCTTAAACCACCTAAGATTTGCACTCATAGTTGGACCAGCTAAACCAAAAACAGCAACCTGTAGGGAATATTAAATGCACTTTCAGATATTTCCAGCCAGTGCGGCAATTCATATGAAATATAAGGGCAATAAAACAATAAATCGTTTAGATTAAATCTATTCCTGTGCTTTACAGTGATGGCATTAATCTAAAGACATAATGCAAACTACAGATCTAAGTTAACAGAAATATATTATGTTATCTTTCAAAGGTTTGGGGTCCGTAAGAATTTTTTGAAAGAACTTTCTTATGATCACCAGGGCTGCATTTATTTAATCAAAAATACCGTAATAACAATATTGTGATGTATTATTACAATTTAAAAGATCTGTTTTCTATTTGAATATACTTTAATTTATATGTAATTTATTCCTGTGATGCAAAGCTGAATTTTCAGCATCAGTCTTCAGCATCACGTGATCCTTCAGAAATCATTCTAATAATCAAGAAACATGATTATTATTATCAGTGTTGAAAACAGTTGTGCTGCTTCATATTTTTGTGGATTCCCTGATTTTTTAAGGATTCTTTGATGAATAGGAAAAAACATTTATAAATGTCTTTACTGTCACATTTGATGAATTTAATGCATCCATGCTAAGTAAAATAATTAATTTCTTTCAAATAAATAAATGTATAAATCTTACTGACCGAAATGTTTTGAACGGCAATATGCATGCAGTTTTTACATCTTCAATAATTGACTATCTAATTAAATTAAAAAGGCTAAATGTAATATCAGTACTCTGTCACATATGACCATTTAAAACTGGTTAAAGCCAAAAGGGTGATTAAAATGGTGATAAACTGTGAACATTGATATCAATTATTTATCTTATATTCTTAATGTTGATAAAAATGCTCATGGACATCAACTACCCACAAGCATCAACTCTCTTATTTTACTAATCTATCCAAAATGGATAAAAGTCTTACATTTTAGTCACATCACTAATAGTGAACTCATGAAGAGTCTATAGCTAGGTAATTGTATACATGTTTACACAAGATGAAACCAACAGATTTGTTTTACATTGGATCAGAAAAATTAAAGTTGATGTGCACAAACATTGGTTCAAAACTATTTCAGGGTCCATAACATTTTGTTATAATAAATCACACTGAGAAGCAGTCAAAACAATTTTTTTATTTTTTTTCAAATTAATCAGTGTTGGATGAATTGAATATGGACACTGTTTGTGGTTGAGAATTGTTTGCGATTTCTCTTGGTGGCACTAGAGGAAATAATACACATCTCCAGTAATTCTATTATCAGTCAGCCAGACAATATGAACATAAAAATGTAAAAATGTTCTTTACCGACTGTGATCTTCCTCCTGCAACCGGTACGTAGGTGATCCTGTAGTTCTGCACTCGTCCAGGAGCGTGATCCCACTTGGCGGTGAGGGAGGTGGTAGTCGCATTGAACACCTGGAGGTTCTGAGGAGGTCCACTAGGAGCTATAAGAAACAACATTTGATATTTCAGGTTTGTGTTCTAACACATCCTTATATCCATATGCAATCCAAATGTTAAATGTCATGTATCTTAAAAACACCAGACTCACCGGGTGTAATAACCTTGGACACTGCAGTCAGCGGGGTAGAGAGGGAAAGAGTGAGAGTTTGTCAAATGCACATGTGGTGTCCAAAGTGCAGTAAATGGAAGTCTATCTACCAATACTGAGACACAAATAACAGTACTGCTAGTTACTATTGCCAGACACTAACAATCACTATTGCATGCAGGGGTGTAAAAAGTACTGAGAAACTAAAAGTACAAGTTACTATGTCAAAAATTTACAGGACAGACATTGTCTTTTTTTTTTTTTTTTTTTTAAAAAGTTTTTTCTGGACCTTTAAGAATAATTTTATTAGTGCTTTCAATTGTGTGAAGACATTCTCTGAAAGTTCAGTTTGCCTCTCTAACAGTTGGTCAAATGAAACGAAAGCCAAACAGAACTAAACTTGTTTAAAATTATATATATAATGTATGGCCAGATGAGACGCAAACTACGTTTTCTCGACTGGATAACCAGTCTCGCTAGTAAAGTTTTGATGGATGAAGACTGCAATCAAGGTAAAGACGATTGCGGTGGTGTACAGGAGTCGTACAGTATGCACGCGTGAGTCCGTTATAATAATGCTTTATGAGTGCTCTTGACGCACTGATCGCACATTGTATTTATGCACAGGCACAGACATTTCTGTACATTCACGTTGTTTCCACACACATTCACCATAATGTTTTGATTTGTCATGTTTATGTTGCTGTGTTTAGTTATTCTGAATGGATCCGTGTACTGTAGTAGATATATGCAGTCAGCAGGCAGAATCACCCTTCAATCTTTTGGTTTACTTTGCTGGATATAGCAAATGATGACAAAATAAACATTTGAAACAAGATAAATGGTCTATGCTTAATTTCATGAAGTGTGCAATTAATCGCAATTAATCACAGAAAAGGTGTGTGATTAATCAGATTAAAATTTTTAATCGATTGACAGCCCTAATATATATATATATATATATTTACAATATTTATACAATTATGTTAATAAAAAACAGTATCTCAATTATGCTAAAATAACACCAAGTGTTTTTTTTTAAGTATCCACATTTAATTGTACTTAAAAGTTAAGAAATTAAACACTTTTAACTTTTAAACATTCTTAACTTTTTTAATTGACTTGAAAACAAGAGATTTTCTCATTTCAGAATTTATGAGGCATTTTTAGTATTTATAGTATTTTTCAAAAATCTGTCCTGCCAAAAATCATGATTTTCTCGTTGTTTTGATTATGTACAACTCCAGGACACAGCAGATGTTAAAGTCGAACCAGTACCCTTAAACATGTTACCTGTCACTTTCAGCTAAAATTAGCAGCCGATAATAGTACAGTGGTTTGACATTTGGAAATAATGATTTTTAATAATCAAGCCTAATCATGAACCGTGTTCACACTCGACTCAAGTTCATCTATCTACATCAATGGTTATTATGATTATTATAAATCATTTTATTACTGTAGTTCAGACTTCAGAGTCTGAAAAGACTAGTTCACACAAAAATGAACTTTTTGTCACCATTTACTCACCCTCGTCTTTCAAAACTACATCAGGATAAAGAAAAATACCATTTTAATTTTTAAATAACTAGAAAAATTCATATGATGTGTACTTTGTACTTTCTACGTGAAATTACAATGGAGTAAAAATTATTATTTTTACTTTGTGAATGTAACTGAGTACAAGTACAGATATATATTCCCAGAACAGTACTATTACTCTATACTACTTTATACCTCTGAGTGTAATGTATGCATGTAATATTTATGATTTTATGGGAAGGAGAGTAAATACACAGTTGAAGTCAAATCAACTTGATGAAGCAGACCTCATGTTTAGACTATGATGTCTTACATATTGAAAGTTGTTCTCTCCACTCTTGGTCCAGCCGACGCGGTAGAGGGAGACATCAGGAGCGCCGTGCTCCCAGTGAGCCCTGAAACTGGTCTGGGTCACTTGAGAGAACCTCAAGTTCTTCGGGGCAGGGACAACGTCTAAAATGAGTTTCAGGTTACAATTAAGCACTTGAAACATTTAGCAGTCAAGTGTTATTTCAATTTACAGAGGTTATTCATAGATAATGGACCCCATGCCCGTTACCTGTAATGGCTTGGTTAAGCATTGGGTTTCCGGTCCCAGAATCATACACAGGAGTCACAGCCACATCGTATTCCGTTTGGGAAATGAGATTATCCAGTCCTCTAGACGTTACATCTCCGTCAACTTCAAGCTAAATTGAAACATGAGGAGTACAGTTATGGCCACACAATACACAGCAAAAAGACTTGGCGGCATCAGGAGGTCAAGGTTTGGCTGGTTAACATTGGCAGTTAGTTGGCAGATTCGTAGATTACTTACAAATTATAATCTTTTACTGATTCCAAAGGACACTGCGTAAAGTGTAGTCAGCAATATAATCTATTAGATTACACAATTTAGGTAATGTAATCTGACTACTTATTGATTACTTTTAGATTACTTTTATCAGTAAATTATTAACACTTTACTGCCATTGTGTTAATAACATGCAATCATGTAATCAATAAAAATGGAACTGTAATCTGATTATGAGTATTTTAATATCTAGTTACTGGGATCTGATTAAGTAATCCAGATCACCTGTAATCCCTTACTTGTAAAAAAAATATTATTTTATTATATATTATTATATAAATAAAAATATAATATAAATATATTATATTTTTGAAGTTGGAAATAAAATTGTGCACAGATTTCAGTTTGTCTCTTGTAAAATTTCATGTTTAATCCAATGTGTTACTTGCCATTTCTTCGTAATTATTTGTGCAATTATTAACAATTTCCGAGTAATTGTTGTAAACCCTACAACAATTTGTTTTAAATGTATGCGTCATATTTCATGTATTGAACAAAATCCATCTTTGCACTTTGCACACAAGCTGCATCTGAAATGGCATTTAGATGTATTTACGCAGACTGTTTAATGCAGCTCAGAGATGCCACAAATGCATTTACACTGCTGTTACAATTGCATAAATACTGTTAGGAGATGAACGTGTTAAATATAAAGTATATTGAATATAAAACTATGACATCATACTTTAAATATGAAACAAAAACCACCTGTTGGTGGCGACAAGCCTTAATGAGTGAGTCACTTTCAACTGATTTGTTCAAAAGAGCTGATTCATTCAGGAATGAAGCAAGCTGATATCAGAATCATGTACATTATTAGCATTCTACTCTTCTTAGCATTCTATTCTATTGCTATTTACATTTAGACATTTAGCAGACACTTTTATCCAAAGCGACTTACAAATGAGGACAATGGAAGCAATCAAAATCAACAAAAGAGCAATGATATGCAAGTGCTATAACAAGTCTCAGTTAGCTTAATGCAGTAAACGTAGCAAGGTTTTTTTTCTATAAATCATATAATAAATAAAAAGAAAACAGATAGAATAGAAAAAGAATAGAGCAAGCAAATGTTAGAGGCCCCTTTTTTTTGCTTTTTGTTAATTGTATAGTGCAAGTCTAAAAGGGGCAAGTTTCTTTTTTTATATAAAGAATAGAATTAGAATAGAAAGTGCTAGAGTTAGAGGGTCAAATAAAGATGGAGAGATGTGTTTTTAGCCGATTCTTGAAGATGGCTAAGGATGGCTGCTCGGATTGAGTTGGGCAGGTCATTCCACCAGGAAGGAACATTTAATTTAAAAGCCAGTGAAAGTGATTTTGTGCCTCTTTGGGATGGCACAATAAAGCGCCGTTCACTTGCAGAACGCAAGCTTCTAGAGGGCACATAAGTCTGAAGTAATGAATTTAGGTAAAGGGGTGCAGAGCCAGTGGTGGTTTTGTAGGCAATTAATGCCTTGAATTTTATGCTAGCAGCTACTGGTAGCCAGTGCAAACTAATAAACAGAGGTGTGACGTGCATTCTTTTCGGCTCGTTAAAAATTAATCTTGCTGTCGCGTTCTGGATTAATCGTAAAGGTTTGATAGAACTGGCTGGAAGACCTGCCAAGAGAGCATTGCAATAGTCCAGCCTGGACAGAACAAGAGCTTGAACAAGGAGTTGTGAAGCATGTTCCGAAAGAAAGGGCCTGATCTTCTTGATGTTGAATAAAGCAAATCTGCAGGACCGGGCAGTTTTAGCAATGTGGTCTGAGAAATTCAGCTTATCATCAATCACAACTCCAAGGTTTCTAGCTGTTTTTGAAGGAGTTATGGTTGATGAGCCTAACTGGATGGTGAAATTTTGATAAAGTGATGGGTTTGTTGAAACCACAAGCAGTTCTGTCTTAGCCAGGTTGAGCTATCGTCGAATCATCATGATGGAATGAGAGGTAGAGTTGAGTGTCATCAGCATAGCAGTGATATGAAAAGCCATGTTTCTGAATGACAGAACCTAGTGATGCCATGTAGACAGAGAAGAGAAGAGGTCCAAGAACTGAGACCTGAGGCACCCCAGTAGTTAAATGCTGTGACATTCAGGAACAAAACCTGGTATTTCAAAACCAGACTGTCCTACCTAAAACCAGATGGATGGCCACCCTAACATGTGATGCATTTTTGCTAGAGAGGGGTTGACGTTGAGAGAAACAACAAAGCCTCAATACATATAAAATCACTTTATGTTCCTGCAGAATTAGACCTGATCTTTGATCCAGTGTCAGGTAACAGGAGCTGCCGCCATCTGTCGGGCTTCTCAGGCTTCCATCCACCTGGACCCACATTTGTGTGCATGTTTGTTTCATCTTTTCATCCCAGAACGAAGAGTTATGAGCAGAACTGAGTCATGATTAATGCTTCAGGATGTGGAGAAAAGCTGAGTCCAAAACTGCCACTGAGAGTTAAAAAAGAAAAAAATCATAGGAAAAAAATCCCACCCATAAAATACACATCCCAAAGCACTGGATTGCTGCGTGCCACTCAAAACTCCATCTTTTTTTATCGGCTGTCTGTTCTCGCAATCTTTGGTAGATGATCGCCGTAACTGAAGCTCTGGAGAGCAGCTGTACTCTCTTGGCAGCTGCCGTCTCCACTGACTTGTGTAATGTAATTGCTGATATGTTAAAAGGTCCCAAATCCATCAACATGAGTCTCTTTCTTGGTTGTCTGCCTGGACGCATTGTGTAAACAGACAGGAATCTTTCCACAGGAAGGCTTCCACAGTGACCCAGGAAGGCTTTGCACATTTGAAAACAAGATTGTTGTTCAACAGCTGATAAGCTGTGCACACAATTATTCCCAAATGCAGCACTACTCAACACGTCTCGGAGCTTTTCGTTGTAGCTGGTGTGATATGATTGTCAAAAAACCATAAATATTACAAGTGCAAATTACTTTTACTATCAGACCTCTAAAACCCCACTTGTTATTGTGTTTCCTTTGAGAACCTTCTGCTTTCAGTGGTTATATGTTCAAAGAGACCTGTGATTTCTCTAGAAAAATTATTGGAATCAGCAGCTGTAGTCAGTTAGGATATTCTGTTGTTTAGGTAGCATTGCTGTAAAACTTGTAAAGTGTCATAAAATCATTAAAAAACTATGACTGAAACAACTTTACAGTTCAAGTAACACAAAATGTGTTTGTGTTTATGACAGCTTTATGAAAGGATAAACATCACATTTCTGATTATGTATGTTATATACAATTGGTCTGAACAAAAACGGCAGATGGGCTGAATGAAAATGCAAATCTCTGACAGCATGTGGTGATTTTGGAAAAACAGAAATACAGCAGTTACCCCAGTTTCCAACGTAAGCCAAGCAGCGCTGCACTTATAAACACTACTTTTAGACATCATAAGAAAGTAAGATGAATAGAAAATGTCAGTGTAACTTTTCTGAACACAGTCAGTTCCCTTCACATACTCATACATATAATCACAAATTAATGGCCTATTCAGTGATTTGTCAGGATGGGCAAATGTCACCAAAAGCTGATGAGCTTGACTTTACCTCCTTCGACTCTCCATCCTCTGGCTTGTAAGTGATGATGTATTTACGAACAGCGCCGGGCGCAGGATCCCAGTCCAGCTGCATGGTGCTGTGGGTAACGTCTGTGATCCTCAACTCACCGGACGGAGGAATAGGCACTACAGATAAGGGAGAGATACAAACAAAAAAAAACAACAGACAAACAAACGATGAGAATCAGATAGATGTGCTAAACATCCCTGCTGAGGGGAAGAAAGCCCTAGTGCCACCTACGGGTCACCCCCTGATCAGAGAGAGGTTCACTGGCAAAATCGCCGAACAGGGCGAAGACGGAAACTCCATAGGCCGTGTTGGGACGAAGTTTCTTCAGCTGGACGTCAGTAACTGTTCCTTTCACACGCATCTGTGAAAGTCAACCACATCACAAATGAAAGGGATGGTGGACTTGTTCAAGGGAACATGATGGAAAGATTATTTACGCCAATGCTTGAAAAGACTAGGTTGAACCAGCATGAATTTCCCAGATAGTTTATGAATGGATATGGATGCTGAACCAGGGTTATTACCTCTAACTAAAACTAAAACTATTACAAACAAATAAACAAACAAACAAATATCAGTGATTGCTAAAAAAGTCATCAGTACAAATGAAAGGGATGGTGGACTTGTTCAAGGGAACATAATGGAATGTTTTTTTTACGCCACTGCTGAAAAGACCAGGTTGGGCCAGCTTGAATTTCTAAGATAGTTTATGAATGATATGGATGCTGAACCAGAGTTATTATATTAACTATAACTAAAACTCTTACAAACAAACAAACAAATAAATACTAATGCTAAAATAACACTAGGCTGAACAAAGTTCTCACGGCCACAGAGAATAAGAGAGTTACATTTGTAACAAGAGTAAAAAAGTTTAGAATACCATGAAGAATCATGGCCAAAAAGTAAATAAGGTTCATTTTGATGGGATGTTGATGTTAAGCTATTTAAGAAAAAGGGGGCAGAAATGCAGGGGATTAGTATCCAAAACAACATTTGCTGGTCTTTTTAGCAGGACACTTTTAGCACAAATACCTTTAAAATATCTATAAATTCTTTAGATTTATATATAATGGTAGAAATTATGATTTTAGTCTTGTCTTGACTGAGATATTGAATTCTGAATCCCAGTGCAAAAATTATTTTCTTACTCTGTATTTTTGCTTTGTTTTCCAGAACAAATATCTAAACATTCCTAAATCAAGATATTTACTTATATACTGTATATATATATATATATATATATATATATCAAAACTTTTATTAAGGACATACACGGTCCAAACACAGACAATATATTAAAACTACATTTTTGTTTAAAACAAGGACAAATAAATGTCCTACCCTGTTGGCAGACATTTGTTCTTGTTTTAAGCATAAACCCACTTAATTTTGAGACATTTTTCAGAAAACTAGGCTTAATTTTGCTTCTCACGAATGTTTAGATAGATCGAACTGGAAAATAAGGCAAAAAAATAAGACAAAAAGAGTAAGAAAAAAAAAAGAAGAAGAAAATATTTTTTGCAGTGAAGACATTATGACTGTGTCTACCAACTATAACAAAAACTCTAAGCATATTCTTTTCTTTTCTAATGAAAAAATGGAGGAACAATATTGAAACATCTGCTCTGTCAGACAAGCCCTGTGGACATCAGATTCAAGCCAGAACTGACGTCGAGACCTCTGGATCTTCTCACTGTGTGAAATACTTGAAAGAGGAACTGTGCTAATAAGCCCCAAAGTGCTAATGAGCTGTTATTTTCCAAAAGCTGTAATATAAAGGACGTTTTTGAACCCAATAAATGTAGACCTACCACCTGTGGTATCTACAATATCTCCAAAAATGCTTTCCATTTCCTCTTTCTGCTACAGTATGTCACAGTTGTTGACAGATTTGAGCTGTTTAGCACCATTGGTTTTCCATTAGAACATTTTGTCTCTTCCAGTAAGTCCTGATGAACACGTTTTGTATTTATTTATTTTTTTAAATATTCAGCTTCAAGACTGGCCTTTCCAAAAGGCTGGCTGACTAGATGAGACGGGACAGCAGACTGGGCAGTGGTTGAAATGTGTGGCTTCACCGTACCTCCTGTTCCACAGAGGGTTCAGTGGCATTAAGGGCGTCGTAGAGAAGCATGTAGCCTGTGGCCCCTTCGGCCGCATCCCATCTCACATTCATGGTGGTGGAGCGCTCTTTGTAGATGTTCATGTTCCTCACAGCACTGAGAGGCACTACAGAAAGGAACATGACTTTTCTCTCTTTCTCTTCTGCAGTTTGATCCCTGACTATCCATCTAAGCAGACTGAAGCTCGAATGGGAACATGGAAGCATTCCGGATGGAATGATGGATGTGTGACAAGATGGAATGGAACGCCATGAGAGACAATGGTTGGATGAGAATGATCATGGGATACTCACGTGATGGAAATGACAGACAGACAAACAGATATGCAATGTCAACACACAGACGACAAATGAAATAATACAATGACACTTTGCGATGCAAAGCAGCATCATGCCGTATGCAACACGATTACATTCAGAGCACTGTAAAAGGAATGATGACGTTAGGGTTAAGTCATAATGGTAATTAAAAAAATTAAAGGTGGCAAAACAGGGTACAGCAATATTAGCACATACACATTGCATAGCATTTTATTTGCACCTTCTCAGCAACTGGCTAAACACCAGAAAATCTTGGTCGTTTTTAAACAGCAAAGATGATACTTTATTGGGTGAATCTCACGAAACCTGTCAACAACTGAACTGCATTTCGAAGAGAGCATTTTCAGTACCATTAAAGATTTTGTATTGACATTATTAAAAAGAAATCACATTTTCCTTACCGTAAATGTATATATACACTATCGTTCAAAGGTCTGTGTTCTGTAAAATTTGGTAATGTTTTTTAAATAAGTCTCCTATGCTCAACAAGGCTGCATTTATTTGATCAAAAATACAGTACAAACTGTAATATTGTAAAATACTACAACAGTAAATTATTCCTGTGATGCGCAGCTGAATTTTCAGCATCATTGCTCCAGTCTTCAGTGTCACATGATCCTTCAGAAATCGTGATTTTCTGCTCAAGAAACATTTCCAATTATTATCAATGTTGTAAACGGTTGTGCTGCTTCATATTTTTGTAGAAACTGACACATTTTATTCCTCAGGATTCTTTGATAAATAGAAATGTCAAAAGAACGGCATTTATTGGGAATGGAAATCTTCTGTAACATTATAAATGTCTTTACTGTAACTTTTGATCAATTAATGCATCCTTGCTGAATACAAATTTTATTTTTTTAAATTAGACATGTTTTTGTGAGATTCACCCAAGTATTGTATGATACAATACTTACAATAGTGTCTAACTCTGTATTGTGGCAGTACCATGGTGGTCAGACTGTAATATCACTGGTATTGAATGATTGCTGTCCTCAAATACCATGGTATTTCCATGGTACTCCAAGGAATTTTTAAGAATATCATAGCATTACCATGTAAAATGTCCAAAAAACAAAGTATTACAATGCAATAAACTGTATTACCATGGTATAGAGAAGTGCAGAACCATATCCTCATGCATGTACTTCTAAAACAATTGCATTTATCGAATGTGCAAATAATAAATGATTTTTTTTTTGGTGTTCAGATACATATTGTTGAGGAATTGGCTCTGGCTGTTCTGGTGATGAGTGAATTGTGGGTAAATGCACACTTACATGTCGTCTCTGAGCCTTTGAGGGGGTCGCTGCTGTCCTCTCCCACCACTGAGTGAACCTTCACGATGTACTCCGTCAGCGGAGTGAGATTCTCCAAGACCACAGTCGTCACCGTCCCGTCGACAAGCAACTGCAACAGACGAACAGAATTAAAGTGAGAACTCACAAGTATAGGACACGACTGTGTTTGCAAAGAAAACAAAATGAATCACTTCTAGGTCAAATCAAAGTTAGCCTTTCCAGACTGTTTCCGGACTTCCAGACTTCTGAAGAAATCTAAACTAAATCTGCCTCAAGCCACACTTTGTCTTTCTTTGCTCTTTCTTGCTGTTAATGTGCATTGCGTAAATAGTTTTAAATGAATCGCACACTTAAGTTTAATACTTAGGGTTTAGTAACCCTAACAATGGGCAATAGTAGTTGTGATGCTTTTCAAACATGTGAAGTGTTCATACCTTTTGTGGTTCTCCTCCTGCGATGCTCACATACTCTATTCTGTACTTCTCCACGGGTCCATCAGGGGCGACCCAGGTGGCGCGGAAGGAGTAATGGGTCACTTCTGAGGTCGTTAGATCAGTGGGTGGCTCGGGACCTCCTCCTGTGAGGGGTAATGATGGTGATTAGGGTTTAACCTTTGACCCCTCACATACTCCAACATTAGAATGTCACATCAGGGCTGTTTCTGAGCAAATCTGAATTTGGTAAACATTGCCCTTAAATTCTGTAAATTATATAGTAATTTTAGAGTTATTTTAGAGTTTTAGAGTTGCACAGTGATGCATTTAATTAGAATAATGATTTTTAATATTAGAGATCTAGAGATAGATTATTGACCTTATTAATATTACAGATTTTTTTTTTTTTAACATGTTAATGGACGCTATATTGTGTTTTCTGCACCCTGGGTCATGGGAGTCGTTATAATGGTGTCATTATTTATATATATATATATAACGATCATATAGGAGCTGGTTGTTTTGGTTCATGGCAGAGCTCAGGGAAAACATGTCCCATATTTGACTTCGCTACACTAAAAGAACAGGAGAAGAATTTCCTCCAGAGATTACAAGAGCTACAACACTGTAGCAGCTCTAACATTGCTCTGATGTGTCTTGAAATGTCAGAAGATAATATTAATCAGTCAAAAGTTCACAGAATATTAACAGCATCATGTCTTTTTTTCCAGCTCATTTCTAGACTGGGCTGCTTCTAGTCATTTTTTTTTTCTCGTGGAGCCTGGAACGTCTTTCAGAATCGAGATTCAGCGTGTCAAAGTTTCATCATGAAAAGGTCAAAGCCTTCAGGGATTAAATTTTGCAAAAAGGGAGAAAAAAAAGGAAGAAAAAAGGAAAGACTAATTCTTGAACCTTTTAGGACATAGCTGTTGACAGCCCCATCAACACACTGACATACAGTAGTGACACTGCATTTTAGCCACAATTCATCACATTTAAGTATTGTATATTATTAGCCTAAGGACTTTTTAAAACTGTTATCAGAAAGAGGTTGATCAGAAATACAGGTAACACTTTATTTGGAAAGTCCACATTAGACATTCTACCAACTATAAGTAAGCAATCATTAGAGTATTAGTAGACTGCTTAGTATAATGTAATATAATATAATATAAAGATGTAATGCAGCATAAAAGCCAGACTAAATTATGCCTGCTCTGACCCACCTCAACCCTTAGTATTAAAGGTGCACTAAGTGATTTTTTAAAAACGCTTTTGACCACAGTGTTGGACCGAGTCCCAAAACACACTTGCAGCCAATCAGGAGTAAGGGGGCGTGTCTTGCAATGATAGAGAGAAGAGAGCACTCAATTTGATTGCACAGGACAGATATTATCAGATCGACTATAGATAGAGAGAGATGGCAGATAAAAAAAGAGGAAAACATCAGAGAAACAAAACATTAAAAAGAAGGGCTACGATCAGGCAAGAGGTAGGACCCGCGTAAATATCAGAGCAGCTTTCCAGCGATGGAGAGAACTCAAGGAGCAGGAAGGGCTCGAATCTTATTGACCTTATTAATATTACAGATTTTTTTTTTTTTAACATGTTAATGGACGCTATATTGTGTTTTCTGCACCCTGGGTCATGGGAGTCGTTATAATGGTGTCATTATATATATATATATATAACGATCATATAGGAGCTGGTTGTTTTGGTTCATGGCAGAGCTCAGGGAAAACATGTCCCATATTTGACTTCGCTACACTAAAAGAACAGGAGAAGAATTTCCTCCAGAGATTACAAGAGCTACAACACTGTAGCAGCTCTAACATTGCTCTGATGTGTCTTGAAATGTCAGAAGATAATATTAATCAGTCAAAAGTTCACAGAATATTAACAGCATCATGTCTTTTTTTTCCAGCTCATTTCTAGACTGGGCTGCTTCTAGCCATTTTTTTTTCTCGTGGAGCCTGGAACGTCTTTCTGCGCCTGGATCGAGTGCACTAAGTGATTTTTTAAAAACGCTTTTGACCACAGTGTCGGACCGAGTCCCAAAACACACTTGTAGCCAATCAGGAGTAAGGGGGCGTGTCTTGCAATGATAGAGAGAAGAGAGCACTCAATTTGATTGCACAGGACAGATATTATCAGATCGACTATAGATAGAGAGAGATGGCAGATAAAAAAAGAGGAAAACATCAGAGAAACAAAACATTAAAAAGAAGGGCTACGATCAGGCAAGAGGTAGGACCCGCGTAAATATCAGAGCAGCTTTCCAGCGATGGAGAGAACTCAAGGAGCAGGAAGGGCTTGAATCGGACGCAGAGGTTGCGTTGTTTCTTCTTGATATGTGAGTAACGGTGATTTTGCTTTGTTTCACACAACTTATCCGTGTTGGCTTTTGTTTGAATATGCTTGTATGTCAACTTCACTTGTTTCCGCGATCGTCGTTGCCATGCTTGTGTACGTTGGGGCGGAGATAGCGACTCCACAACATGGCGGCGGCGGCAACAATACTACAGAAAGAATCAAAGTTACGCCTTCTTTCTTTGCGTATACATTTGGGCGGCGTTATGCAAATCTTCCCACACAGTGACGTAGACATGTGGGGGCGTGTTTAAACGAGGCGTTTTAGGTTAGGCGTGGACGAGTCTTAACTTTTATAAAGAATATCTCTTTGGGTTTGAGACTTTAGTCGTTGCAACTTTAGGGATCTTATCTATTCACGAACAGCTTGTAACACTCCAAAGAGAAAGGAAAACTTGAAATCGCATCATATGACCCCTTTAAAGTACACAGTTGTAATTTTTGTGTAAATGCAATTAATGCCACCTCTTAGCAGCATTAAACAGTCTTTTTGTAAAAATGCCTAAATGCAACCTCAAAAGCACTTATATGCCAACTTTACAGTGTAAATTTGGTATTTGTCCTTCATTCTCATATAGATTGCCCACTTTTCACAATCCAGTCAAATTTCTCTACATTTTGTCTTATTGACTATCCCTTTTCCCTCAGAAACACTGCATCTTTCAGCCTCAATGATACCTGGACCCTTGACACTGTTACACAGGTTGTTTGTCAGGTCGTCCACGATGTCCAGCAGGAAGGAGAAGTCAGCCACGTTGTACATGTGGATGTCATCGGGATCTGAAGCAATGGATCTCAGCTCATTCTCATCTGCGTTCTTCACACCTGGAGATCAAAACCACAAAAGACATGTTAAAGCCCAATTAAACTCATTACCTATTGTCTTTCACTGACCAATCAAATCAGACCAAGTCTTATTGACCGAAAGGGGAAACCAGTTCTTACCAATGGCATACAGCTCAATGCCCTGGTCGCGTAGGTTCTGAGAGTTGACGATGATGTCATCCTGAGACTTGCCATCAGTAACCAGGACGCCGATCTTCCGAGAGTTCGGACGCATTCCAACATTAGCCTTGAAATTGTTCTGAAGGATGTAGTTTAAAGCAAGGCCTGTGGAATAAGAGAATGTTAGTGAGTCTAAATACACAAGGTGGGCATTAAACCTAATGAAGACCAGTATTAACCACATAAAGCTACTGTGTCATATTTGATATGCACATTTCTATGGCCTCTTTGCTGAAAAAAATGTTGATAGTTTATACTTTTGACTGATAGTTTATACTTTTTTAGCAAGTAAAAGGTCTTTTGGTATAACTGTACAAAAGTCCACTTTCAGCTCGTGCTTCATGTGTCTTTTTGCTGTGTAATCTTTACTGATTTTTATAAGTAAAAGTAAGAATAACTTGGATATTGTTAGAAATATTTCAAGATAAACACCCACTCGACTGAAGAAACATTTTACTTGATTATCAAGACAATTTTTTAGAAAAATCATGTTAAAATATGAGTCTCAAATGTATTATCATCAGGCTTTTGAGGAATGTCTATTTGTTCATCTCTCAATCATCATTGTATTGCATTGAATTATATGTTTTGATCATCAAACTAAGCATTTAAATACCATCTTACTAAGACATATTATTGGGAGATAATACTTAAAAATAAGTGAAACCGGTCCCACTTTATATTAAGTGGCCCTAATACCTGTGTACTTACATAGTAACTAGATGTGTACATAGTATGTAACCACAGTGTAAGTACACGTCGGTACATAGTATCTAGAGCTGTAATGTTTGTGTAACTACACATATGATATAAAGTGGGACCAATAAGGTCTTCCTTGAGTTTCAGCTCCATTATTCTCACTCTATCATACTATGTGAGCCATAAATCTTTATGTATCAAATAAAATTCTCAAAAAAAACCCACACAGGATTTGTTTTTCTTTAGATATTTTCTAAAGATTCAATAAACTGTTCCATTTTTAATTGGAGCTGCAATCGACAACATCACGAGTGGAAGACAAACTTCTACAAACTTTAGGGTTTCACCACAAATCAAGTGTGTTGGGTCTGTCATATAGATCAGAATCAAACATGATATACCAGTCAGAGTGTTTCCTCCTTTGTAGGGTAGATTGGCCACGGCATCCAGCAGCTCTTTTCTGGTTCTGTGAGAGTTTAGGTGCCACTCAGTCTTTGGGTCTCCACTGTACTGTGCCAGACCTAAAAACAGACAGATACAGTGTTCATAATTACAACCAGCAGAAGATGCCATTGCTCAGAAGTTTCTCTTTTATAGTTCAAAAGACCTCTTTTAAATGTTTAAAGAGAATGAAAGAGTAAATTGGCATACAGTAAGAGCACACAGCTGTAAAATACATGTGCGCTGCAGATCATTTTTTATGAGAATTGATGAGGTTATACTGAGATATGACTTTTAATTGCAAATGTAGTCTATTGGATTACTCAGTCAAAGTTTGAGACATTGTCGAGATATCTTCTGAAACTCTAAAGCACACGTGAGATGACAAGGGTCTTTTTTCTCAGGAGAAAAGTCTGAGAAACATGAGACTTGAGAGAGAACTCAAGAGACTTCATATGCATGCCACTATTGTGGATCTTCTCACTAATATGGGGTTCAGGATAAATTTCTCTTACCGATCTGGACACGATCCGGCCCGATGTCAAAGACACCCACCATGCGAGCAATGAAAGACCTTATGGTCTTGAAGTTCAGACGACCAATGCTCCAAGATCCATCAACAAGCAGGATGATATCGGCCTGGGCTGTGGTTTTGCACATTACCTCTGTTTGACCAGAGAACAATTCAATCAGTCAGTTTATTATTATAAAACGCATAATAATAATCATTCAAACTAGTGTTAAGCAGATGTGAACATTCAGATTGATTGTGATTTGTGATAAAGGATGCAGATAAGAGTTTAGACACACTTGGACACACAAAACATTCACACAGTCATGCAAAGCATGACAAATTTGTTTATTTGGCATTTTGAAAACAAATTTTTTTTTTACATTATATATTAAATAACATCTTTTAAACTGTCAACTCCATTTCTGTAAGCGATGTCTTTGTCTGTGTCCCATCTTGCTGTCTCTCCAAACAACTGAATGAAGGGGAAAAGAGAGGGAAAGTGTCGCCCACCTGACCCTGCTCAAAAAGAACATGTTGCATAATTGTCTGATTTATAGATCATTCCCTCAAGCATCAAAACAAAAGTATAACATTCTGTGGATATAGCCAGCTAATATTTTAAAATACTGTGGTTATTATGTTTATGAAATGTGTTAGACATACCTGTGTGGGAATTTCTTAGTAGCGATAAAATGAATTATTTAAGGTTTCAAAAAATATTCATTGGCCAAGCAGGTGCTTGTCCTCAATTGTAATGTGGAATTCTCACATTTAATTTACGACCCCTTGTACCCTAAACACTAAAGCCAGGAACATACTTTAGGCAAGTAAGCAAACACAGATGCAAAACGGTAAATGCATTGCACACACACAATCTCGGTGCATTTGTCTCCACAAGCGAAACTAAAAAACAAGATAACTAAAACATGCCTTAAATTGAACACTTCACCTTCAACAAGCTAATGATTCAAAAATCAAAAGTCAGCAATCTTCCTTCTCTGCATTATTAGAAAGCCACTGTGAAATGTTCTCTTTAAAGAAAGATGAATAATATAATGTTCATGAATAACTGAAAGGATCTACCCTTATTTTCTACTGTAATATATATTTAAAATAAGGTAACACTTCACTTAAAGCCTTTATGTATTATGCATTATAAAAGTAGTTTTAATGCATTAATTGTGCATGCCTTGTAATGCACCTTATAATGCATTATACAGTCTCACAAATAATTGTAACCACAGTTAATACATTATAACACTTATCAATTCATTGTTACACTTTGCATTTTAAATTTGGTTATAATTATTTACTACAAGATTACATTTAGTCATTTAGCAGACGCTTTTATCCAAAGCGACTTACAAATGAGGACAATGGAAGCAATCAAAATCAACAAAAGAGCAATGATATGCAAGTGCTATAACAAGTCTCAGTTAGCTTAACGCCGTACACGTAGCTAGGTTTTTTTTAAATTATATAATAAATAAAAAGAAAACAGATAGAATAGAAAAAGAATAGAGCAAGCTAGTGTTCGAGGCCTTTTTTGCTTTTGTTAATTGTATAATAAATAAAAAAAAGAAATAGAATACAAAAAGAATAGAGAAGCTAGTGTTAGTTTTTTTTTTTTAAAGAAAACAAGCAGTTAGTAAATGAATAGAGTGCAAGTCTAAAAGGGACAAGTTTTTTTTTTAAGAATAGAATTAGAATAGAGAGTGCTAGAGTTAGAGGGTCAAATAAAGGTGGAACAGATGGTTTTTTAGGTGTTTCTTGAAGATGGCTAAGGACTCGGATTGAGTTGGGCAGGTTCCCACCAGAAGGGAACATTTAATTTAAAAGTCTGTGAAAGTGATTTTGTGATAAAGCGGAGTTCACTTGCAGAACACAAGCTTCTAGAGGCACATAAGTCTGAAGTAATGAATTTATGTAAAGGGGTGCAGAGCCAGTGGAGGTTTTGTAGGCAAACATTAATGCCTTGAATTTAATGCGAGCAGCTACTGGTAGCCAGTGCAAATTGATGAACAGAGGTGTGTCGTGCATTCTTTTCGGCTCATTAAAAATTAATCTTGCTGAGATTGTAAGATATAATGTATTACCACATTATGAATAATTATAATGCATTATACCCTCTAATGACACTTTATACTGCCTTTTGTGTCACTTTTGATCAATTGTCTTTGTATTCATTTAATTCCCTCCCAAAATAAATAAATAAATCTTACTGACACCAAACATTTGAACGCTAGTGTAATTGTTTATACATAGTGGAGCCAAAATATCATAGGCAATATTGAAAATCTGCAATCAAACATCTAATTTAACACTGAAAATAACCTGAAACTTTTTGGATTCAAAGCAGTTTAAAGCAAAGAAACATTGTGACAATAAATGAATAAGAAGTATTTAAGTCACTAGGTCACCAATCAAATCAGCAAATTTGTGATACTGACCATGTTAACTCATTTGTTCAAATTTTCAGCACAAAAGATGTCCTTTCATGCAAGATAACATGATCATCAGCTTTTAAACAAATATGTAGAGTTGAGTTGGCTTGAGTGCTGCTGTCATTAAAGCAAACATTCATCCCAAATACTAATACATTTGAAAAATCATGTTATTTGATTTATTTATTAATTTATTTCAATTCAGAGGTAACAGAAGGTCCCAAATGTTGATGTTAGTTGAGGCATTAACTAACAACAAGCACTACATTTGTTACAGTATGTATTAATCTTTGTTAATGTTAGTTAATAAAAATACAACTGTTCATTGTTAGATCATATTAATTATTAAATAATATTCACGATACAACTTTTAGGGCCCTATTTTAACGATTTAAGTGCATGATCTAAAGCGCACGGCGCAGGTGCACTGAGGGCGTGTCCGAATCCACTTTTGCTAGTTTAACGGCGGGAAAACTGTCGGCGTGCCCGGGCGCATGGTCTAAACGGGTTGTCCCTATTCTCTTAATGAGTAATGGGTGTTTTTGGGGCGTAACGTGCTATTAATGAGTAATGGGTGTTTTTTGGGCGTAACGTGCAATAAACCAATCAGAGTCTCATCTCCCATCCCCTTTAAAATCCAGTTGCGCTCGCACCATGGTGGGTTCGCTATTTACATGGCGGAATGTAATTTTTAATTTTTAAAAAATTTTGTGTGCTGCTGCGCGTCCCTGTGTATGTAATAAGCAAAGTGTATGCGCGTTGTGCAACTGCCTATAGGCGTATATTACTACCGCACTCTTTAAATAACAAAGAAAAAATATTGCACCAGACTTTAGACCAGGTTCGAGTTGGTCTATGGCGCAGTCTATTTTCAGTTCCTCAAAATAGCAACGCGCCAACAATATG